TCTGTATTCGTAGTTGTGCCTCCCTCAGGGTCATTTTCAGGGTAGCAGAATTCAGAAGTTGATTAATAAATGAATATTTCGGGGAGGAAACAGACGATGAGTAACACACTGAATCAATCATTCAGTAATTTGTTTTATTCAGCAACAAAACATACAGTATAAAAAAAAAGGATCAGAGATAGATGATACTGTGTGCTTACTAAAACATGCGTTTTTTTCCTTCCCCATGAGCCCAATAGATAGGGCTCATTGCCTTGCATGCATTGGAGGGTGCGATTGTGCATGTTAACACAAGTCAATCACTTTTGCTGCCAGTTGCAGATTTGCTGACAAAGAGACTTTATCTCTCTACAGAAGTTTCCTTTCCAAGGTCATCTTAAGAACTGTGAATAAAAAAATATATCTGTCTTCAGTGTATCTCTACAGTAAACATTTATGTCAATGAGACAACAATGATAAATAAATAAATTGTGTTGAAACCTGTGATAGCAATCCAATGGGTTGATTTGGGAAAGGTAGATAAAATGAAGTACATGTGTTTGTGCTTTTTGTGGCAGATTTGTGTGTAAGTGTGTTTGTGTGTGTGAGAGAGAGATCCTGCTGATACAGACTGATACACACTTTTGATGTGAGAGCAATCTCTCTCCATCAGTCTCTGTCTTCGCCTATCCTTCATCTTTTCTCTTTCACATACCTTGTGCCCCCCCTTTTTTTTAAAACCTCCATCCCTGCTTCATCACTCTGTCTCTTGGCAGAGCCTGCACCCCTCCCCCAACACACACACACACACACACACACACACACACACTTGTGCCTTCGTTTTCTTAGCCCTGTCCTACACCCCTCCCTTCCACCTTCTTCCACCTTACTCTTTGCCCTCATTCTTTCCTGCTTGCCTCACTTTCATCCCTTCATCCTTCCATCCTTCCCTCCTTCCCTCCATCCTGCTGGCTCAGCTGGTATACAGGCAGCCTTTGTTTCAGCTGTGTCCTCTGTCCTTTGAAGGAGGAAAGCTGAAAAGCAAGAGCCACAGAGGGAGGGGGAGGCTAGAGGAAAGGAGTGAAGCAAGGGGCAAAAAAGGAAAAAAATCCATATGGAAAAGCAGGATAAAAGACGGAGGAGAGGAATTTAAAGAGAAACTGGGAGGGGATAAAGCAAGCAAGCAAGGAAGGAAGGGAGAGAGAGAGAGATATCTCTGGATCAATGGTCTAGGTTGTTCAAGTCATTGATATCCAGTCACAGCAGCGTATGAGAGCACATTTCCTGTGTGGTAGGATCAGTCTATGCGACACGGGCACTCACCTTAGCACACTTCCTCCTGGTTCAGTGGTGCACAATTGCAGCTCTTTAGTTCTCAGTTAAAGGCCAGCCAAGCAATTTATATAAAATTAGAGTGTTTTGGAAGCCAATCATTGGTGTGGAACTCTGTACACCACAGCTACACTGTAGGCCAAAACACTTAAAAAAGCCACTAAAGATCTTAAAGGCAAAATATGGCATGGAAACCCTCAATTCTGTTTATATTCACTATTTTTCAAGTCCAGTAATGATGTCTTTTTTTTTTTTTTTACCTCTATAGTGAGAAAAACCCAGGAGAAAATTTTGGACCTGTACCTTCATCCATGATGCTGTAGCTGTAGTAGCCGTGGTAACATGTGAATCCTGCGGCGTGTCATCAGCATTTACATCTCTAAGGTAAGAACATTTTATGTTTTTTCTTGCCATGAGCTTGAAATTGCTGGCATTCTCATATAAACTAAAAGGCCAGTAATTTGGCCTATCGTAAAGCCCGAACAAAAAGAAAAGTTGTCTTGCCAAAATTTTATCAGATGTACAGGAACAGTTTTATAGGAAAATGCTGTGCCAACAGTTCTAGATTGATAGCCATTATATAACCACAATTAGTTGATTTAAAAAAATATGTCCTTTGTATGGTTAATATATCCTGTTGGACACATTCTAATGGTATAAATATTTCACGTGTCAGCAAAAAGTAAAATTCCCCAAAAAATGAATTTTAGAATGGGAACAAAAATCCTCTTGATTTTGTTTGCTACAACCAGTAGCGCTTTTTGATACGGGCGACATGGGCGGTTGCCCAGGGCGGCATCACAGGCATCAGCAGAAAAAAAATTACTCGTACTCATTCTGCCCCGACATCAGCCAGCGCATATTGGGAATGGCATAGGCACCGATCGGTTTTCTATCGCCCATTTGCTGGGAGTAAGGGCGCCCTCCGTTTGCGAGGTGCGCCTGCTGCTTGGGAGGAGAGGGCGGGGGATTCACTGGCTGGAGCAGCACCTAATAACCAACTCGCAAAATAAAATAAAATAAAAACAAACCAACAAACACGAAAACACCAGACATCATGATACAGACTTATCATTTGCACCGATGTTTTTATTGAAATTCTATACGCGAAAAGTGAGCGCGAGAGCCTACTTTCGCGGTGCGCCTGCTTGCTGCTGAAGTCAAAGTAAACTTTATTGTCATCTCCGCTACATACAGTCCAGTATATAGAGAGACGAGACAATGAGGCTCCAGTTACAGCAGTGCAAGTAAACAAACAATAAATATAAGAAGAGTAAGAAAATAAATATACACTTTAGGACCAGGGGTAAAGGGATCAATAACAATTTAAAATTTATAATTTACAGTTTGATGAAAATTCACACACAACCTGTTGAACGTGGAGAGGGCCTGCTGCTTCCAAATAGAGCACATTTCATTTATAATGTTGTAAATCCAAGCCCATTATGTATTCATGATTTGAATCCTGGGTTGTGTGAAATCCCAGAAATACACCTTAGACAAAGTGAATCTGTGAACTAAGGTGTAGGTCTGTTATGTTGTGGTGATTCTCGGGTTGGGGGATTTGTGTTCATACTGGAGTGCAAAAGTAAAACCAATGGAAGATGGACAAGAAAAGTTCAAAGCCATCAGGTTCTCAGTTTAGAAAAAAGAGAAAAGAAGAGGAAGAGAAACGAGCAAAAGATGCAGGTAAGCAGATGTGTCATTGGATAATGGCAGGTCATCCTGAAACAATCAGAATCAGAATACTTTATTAATCCCTAAGGAAATTATGTGGGTTACAGTTGCTCCAAGAAGAAATGGTAAAAATAGTAACAGTAACAGACTAAACTCCAAACAATACAGTATGTTACAGATTTTATAAGAAATAGCACGAATATATGCAGATCAGTCAGTTATAAATATCAAAGATTAACTGAGGTGATTATAAATAAATATCAAGAAAATTGACGAGAATATTCCAGAGTAGAAAAGCACGTGTGTAAAAAGGGTGTAGCTATTGTGTTAGATGGAGTAGTTGTACAAGGAGATGGTTTTCTTGTGTTGGTAATCTCAGTCTCTCACTGAACGTGCTTCTGTACAGACAGAAGGAGTGTTTGCCCAGGGCGCCAAACAGGCTAGGACCGCCACTGGCTACAACAGAGGCTTAGTGGGAGGCAGGCCAGTCTCATTTCCGTTAGCAGACACCAGGCTTTGAGTTACAATAGGAAAGAAAAGCTGGTGAGATCTGGGTCAACCACCATGTTTTGGTGGGTCACTTGGATGCCAGGTTAGCTCAGTTTGATAGTCAACGATACAAGAAGTACGGGGGCCAAGGTACCTTTGTCCCAACAGTCCCCATTTGTCATGTCAACACATTTGAAGCATTCGCTACCTTATTTCAGGTTATTTTGTCCTCATTAAGAAGAGATTACCAGCCATCACAACCAGTATGCACAGAGTGTGGTGGCTAAGCTCGTTAAGCTCCTGTTTATAAAAACAAGATCAGGCATTTGACTTGTGGGCACAGCGTATTATGCAGTGACCATCTACACACTTTTTTAATGAATCCGATGCCCTTGCTTGTATTTGAAATGTAGATTCAGTGAAAAGCAGCTAAGCCTTTTGGGATTTTTGTGGTGAATATCAGGAAGGTGTTATCTCATTGCCTTTGAGTTTGCCTTGGGGATGAGTTTGGCCCTGGAGTGGAAACAAGTAAAAACAATGCTATACTACAGAAATTAGTAGCCCCACTGGACTTAATAAGTTGCATGATTGTTCTTCTTTTTAATTAATAAGTCCTCACTTATTTTATTTCCATCTGTTTTCTTCTTTCGGTCCTTATCTCTTATCTCCCTCATAATGTTTTCAGGCTGAGGTGTAGTAGCTTCATCTTCATATTAGTTTTTTTATGTCAGAAATCTACCTCCAACCTCCTTAACATCAGAGACTTTGTTGTTGATTCCCTCTCCCCAGTGCCCTCGCTCTCTCTATGGCTCACTTTTCCCTGGCCTGCTTTTCCTTTCCTCTCTTCAGCTAGTTGTTAGATCTACACTTATAACCTCAATGTGTCCCTCTAGGGTGTGGCTGACTGCTGAACTCAGCTGTACAGGAGGCAGGAAAAATTACAGTGAGGAGACAAAACAAAAAGGGTGGGGGGGAGTTTGGGGTTATGAGTTTGTAGTCTCATTGGATTTGAGACAGTACATTGATTGTTGACTAATCTTTAAAGGAAATTTATTTAAATGTCCCAAAAAAATAACACTACATAGATAATTGTGAAATTAAGCACATAATTCAACGATGAAAAGTACTTGCAGCCTTAATGGTGTCCCCATGTGTATACTGTGGTGTAGCTATTTTCACAGGTTAACTACCACTCTTAGAGTAAACTGTAAAATTAATGAATCAATAATTTCATATTGTGACACAAGAATGAACTGCATTGCTCTAAACATTAATTATAATAATTCTATAAGCTTGGCATTTTATTGAATTATATGATAATGGTTGTTTATTCCGGTGTAGCCAGGAGGTATTTAAAAGTGCTGTAGTTTCCAGTAATGCAGGTATTACCCTGCAAATTTGACAGAACCTGGACAGACTGAACATACAAACTTAACATACGCACCTAAAAATATGAATTTGACTTCATAACAACAACGAATTTGGTTCTTGCACATGGATCATTCACACACGTACACTTACTGGTGCAGATTTCTGCAGAAGGATCTGTCTTGGAAACAATGTTGATTATAATATCAGAGAAACTTGTTATTAGTTTTAGATGAAAATTACTTTTCCACATAGCAGCAAGGATCGTTTGGATGCCCCCCACCCATTAATAAATGAAATCATCGTTTAAAAAATGCATTTTGTATTTAACCATGTTATCTTTGTCTGATATTAAAATTTGTGTGATGATCTGAAGCATTTAAGTATTAAAAATATGCAAAGAGTAGCACAGCAAAAAGGGGTCAAATAGCTTTTTACAGCCCTGTACTTTCAGCTATTCACAACAGATCACCACGGCGGGTTCTGTAGCATCACATGTTTGATTTGTCAGATTTTGATGCTAAATGCCCTACCTATCATATTCCTCAAGGGATTTGTGTCTCCTCCTGGAATCAAACCAGGAATCAGTCAAACCATCTTTTTTCTTTATAGGCAAATGTGAAATCCACTGCACTATAGAGCCACTCCTATACAGAAATAAAGAACATTACAGTACTTTCACCAGCTTATGCGTTTCGTTTCACCCGACTTGTCTTCTTCCTCAGCTTGTGTCAGTCGTTAACTCCTGTGAATGTGCAGATAAACCAAGAGAAGAAATTGTGGTGATTTTATGTATTTATTTATTGACCTTTTTTTTTCCTCGGGGCCTTAGGGGGAAAAGAGTGAGAGAGGTGCATAGAACTAGTATGAGATGAGAGATCAAACAGCAGCCTGTGTTTGTTTTATCTTCTTAATGAACAAAGTGCGACACGTTTCAGTTCTTTAGAGTTCACTCAGAGGCCTGTATGCCAGCTGGGGAATTCAACCTGCAACCGTGCAGACTCTTGTGAGCGACTTGAACAAATGCTTTCCTTAGAGATGGATCACTCTTATATATGTGTGTGTGTGTGTGTGTGTGTGTGTGTGTGTGTGTATCCATTTGCACTGAAGCCCTCGACTTCTTAGCAAAACAGATCAAAGTCAAAGTCGAGTCTGCCTGTCCCCTGCTCACTTTGATGAATGGAGACCTGGCTTGATGGAGGGATGGGGAGGAAGGAGGAATAAAGTGGGGAATGAATATAGGACTGAAGTATAAGAAGCTCTGAATGAAGTGACAGGTTGGAAGGATAGATGGGTTTCACCTTTGCATCACCTTCTTCAATGATGTTCCCGTAAGGTACACTTTTAGTCACATGTTCTCGTTTCTCCCCCTCAGTTGTTTTTTCTGTAATGGACATCTTTCTGCTCTCTTTATGTGATGCTTTTACTTTTTTCTTTCGCTTTTTTCCTTCTCTCATTTGACATTTCAAGTCTTCATCACACGTTTCCATTTTTCCCTCACTTTCTTTTTGTGTAATCATACTGCGTTCCTTCTGTTAACCTCCTCCTTACCGTTCTGTGTTATGGCCTTTTAGCATGTGTCTCCTCTCTAGTAGAGAGTAGAAGCACTGCCCTCACCCCAGTGGGACATTTGGCAGCCGAGAACAGCCGAGGGCCAGGCATAGTCTGGGTCACCCAACTAACCTATTCCTCCCTTCCTTGCCTCTGGTCCTGTGGGATAATAGGTGTGAGGAGGAAAAGGGAGAGGACAGGGAGAAGAGATAAAAGAGGAAAAAAACAACAGGAGGAGTATAATTCACACATGAGAGGAGACGCAGGTACATAGGACGCACACTCTAAGGTAATTAGTC